GAAGATGTACTGCAGCACTGAATCCAGTTTGTCCGCGCAGATCTTTAGCACCCTGGAGCTGACACCATCAGGACCCGCTGCCTTCCCTGCATGGAGTCTCCTCAACTCCCTTCTGACCTGGTCAGCTGTGATGGGTAGGCCGAGGAGGGCAGGGGAAGATGGAGTAGGAGTAGGAGGGATCTCATGATGTGGTGACTGAGGACATGAAGAGGGTGTCTGGGGTGAAGGCCTGTAAGGTGATTGGTCAGTGGGCCCTGTATCGGATCTGTTAAAGAAAAGATTCAGCTCATTTGCCCTCTCCAGGCCTCCCTCCCTCCAGGCCTCTATTTGATTGCTGATGAGTAATGTAGTAGTGTAGTATAGATCTGTCATGGTCATAAACTACTTTAAGAGGATAAGTGCACAGTGCCTGCGAGGCATGAATAGACCAAAACTACTGGTCTGTACCTGTGCTGGCACTGGCACTGTTAGAGAAAAAGGTGTCAGTTTATGGGCCCCACCTAGTCTGGATTTGTACAGGTCACCCAGATATGGTTATCCTAAATCATTTTTCACAAGGATTGGTCTTTTGATAAACATATCTGTTAGCAAAATGTTTTTTTTTATTTGAAAGCAAGGATAGTTAACATGTAACTGCAATATTTGCTCTTTTTCAACTTGATTTCCTATACAGAATTATTAGCTGTTGAAACAATGGCATTTGTCCACTTTCTCTACAGAAAGGAAAGACAGAATGCTTCTATTTGAGTATATATCAACAAATAAAAAATTTCAGAGGTCAGTTCCTTGAAGTTCAAACCATTTAACCACCGGTCTGCTTTTAATATATTTGCTGAAGACTGTTTATAGCTACTTGCGTTTTGATTTTTTACTTGCTTTCATTTTAAATTTTGTTGTGAAGATAGAATTAATAGGATATTGAAATCCCTATTTATTCTGTAGTAAATAATCACCCTAATATTTGTTTTCAAATATGTAAGAACCTATTCCATTTCCTTATACTCAAATGAATACTTTTTGTGTTGCAATCACAGACACCTTCCATTATTTCCAAGTTTAGTGTTAAACAAGCAAAATGTTTGCAGTGATTGTTCTGCTGTATCCATCTTCCTGGGGCTCATTTTCATATCTCCTTTTTTATCACTCTAAAAAAATTGAGCTGTTAGTAGCAGAAGATGAAATGACTCACAAAGGTTAAGGTATTGTTCAATGTAGACACTTGGAGGATAAAATTGATGGCCAGCTACCAGCATGCATTTCACAGTTATTTACAAATGTGTTGGCATGTGGAAGAATTGTACTTGTTTGATAGCTGCCTTCTCAGACAAGTGCAGATACTAAACACAAGGGACTATGGATAAGCCATACAGCAGTGGGTTTTGTAAATAAGCTTCTCCTTTGAGCAACAAAAAAAGACATTTTGTAAATGGTAAATGAGAAATTGCCTATCCAACCCATCTTGCACAGTAGCCTATATATCCAATACCTTATTATGACTTTTTCCATGTGTCAACGGGTACTTTTTTGTTTCCTGTGAACCTTTCTGTCTACCTGTAGGCACAGTGAGGCCAATTGCTTTGCTGAAAATGGAATGATGTTGAGGCAACCCTTTAATAATAATAATTGAAATCAGTAACTGATATATGCAATGTTTTGTAAAGTTTCTTCCTGTATTGCATGAAAAAAGGTTATTGCATTTTAAAACTCTGCTGTCTGAGCATATAAATGCAGTCCTAATTCTTTGAGTCCAACTTGTGATATTTGTTAAATGTCATCATTTTGTATTACTTTATAACACATTGGCTGCCGCTGCCTTATGGGGCCAACGGATGAAAACCAAGTCCTGCTTGCGACAGATAAAACGAGTTGCATTTCACTGATCACGTTTAGGTCATTTCATGTCACGTACAGGTCAGCAGAGTTCATGTCCATAATTCAGTACTATTAGTTCCTGTTTCACACTTTATCTGGACTCTGCTCGTTATGTTACACAGTAAGCATAAGGATAGAGTATAAAAAAACATGAGAGCGATGAGTGATGAGTGAAAACGGCAAAATCCCAGTTAGTCGCACAGTTGTTTTATTGAGCAGACAGGCTGTGTGGTAGTCCTTTTTTTGTAACAGAAAAAAAACTCTATGATGAAAGTCACAGACTGGTGGTGTATGTGGCCATGAGTGGACACAACACAGGTTGTACATCTGTATTGCTTGCTTTTCAGCAGTGTGCAGGAATTAATACCTGGATAAGCATGTGCCTGTTCACTGGTCTCTGAGCCCTAGATTTCACGTCATCCCATTATCCCAATAATACAAGACGTGGGGCAAAATAGTAACTGATGACAGCAAGTGAAACTGAATGAAAAGTTAGTGAATAAACACGGCAGGATTTGCAGCTGCTGTTCTTAATGACCCACTGGTAGGGCTGAGGGCTATAAGCTGGCAGCAGCAGAACAGATTACATTGGCTCCCAAGATTTGGAGTCTTTTCTTGGGAACTGAAAGTACAATAGGTCAAAGTCCAAGGAAAACAAACCAAGTTGGGTATTTTAAAAATTCACTGATGTGAATCAGCTAAAGCATTCAAGTCCTTAAAGCCGAGCAGCTAGTTTTTGAATGTTATTATGAAATCCAGAGGTAGTCGGTACAAGGGAGATTAAAAAGGAGGGAAAATCTTATGTATTATGGTTTGGGTTAAGATTTGAGCAGTTGTACGTGCTGCAACTTGTTGAGAATGTTTGGATACTCTAGTAAGTTATTCATTAAAAACATCAAACATAAAAAGACAAAAGCATGCATTACCTGTCTGCATTAGGCTGGAAGAGATGTGAACAGATAAGAGCAATGTTATGAAGATTAAAAAAAGGCACAGCAACAACACTGCGAAAATTAGCTTGAGTTGCAAAGTCTTGATCCAAGGTGACTCCAGGATTCCTGACTTGAGTACTTGCACTGATTTCAGGACTTGCTAAAGTTGTCACGGTTGTGAAGTTCATCAGGACACCCAGTTAGAAAGAGTTCTGTTTTTCAGGTCAGATGAAAAAAATAATTGATTGCATTCTTTTTTACCATGATCTGAGCAGTTAACAAAGATAGCAGATGTTTTGTGAATAACAGGAGGTTTTGTGCAAATTTACATTTGTGTGTCAGGTTAGAAAGTTAGACATCAGGTTAGACTTCATTTGGTTAGAAGTGATGACTGATGCCATACCTACAAAGAAATCTGATCCAGTGGGTCAATATTTAAATCCATGGCATATGTGACCCATTTTGCAGGGGAGGAACAATGTTGAATTTGAGCAGATTGTTTGTTTGAGTAAATGATATAATGAAAAAAAAATTAAACCATGGCAAATCTGGTCCATAAAAACCAATAAGTCATTCAGCAAAGATGTAGTATGATCAACAGTATTTAGGGCAGCAGTGAGGTCCAGCAGGACAAGAACTGATAAAAAATGCTGGAGTCTACAGTCATCAGCACATCATCGGTAACCTTGTCAAGAGCTGCCTGTATCAGCCTCAGATTAAAATTGCTCAAATAATGTAACTGCAGATCGGTGAGCTTGTAACGAAACAAAAACAGCCCTTAACAGACTCAGATTCATCCATTGACACTTCAAACGTACTGTTCTTCACTGTACAGTATATAAGAAAAGATGAATTGTGGGAAAAAGGAGTTTTAGGATTACATTCTTGAGTTAGCTGGCCAGTGCATTACGTTAGAATTGCTAGTTTTACTTGAAAGAAATGTAAACAGATAAGCCAGTGTGCATCCATTTGTGGTAAAGTTAACATCTATGAAGCTTTTGTACCAATGTGAATGATTTGTAAATGGGACTTTATTTTCTGTTGTCTAACAATCTAAAATTTTAAAGGGATACCTTTGTGAAGCATTATTGAATCCTTAGGACTTGTCAGTTGAGGGTCACTGGAAGAAGAATTTTCGCGGATTAATAGAACTTAATCTTGCAAAATGTAATAATACACTTGTGTGTAAATATAGGAATCTCCAGAGAAAAAGAAATGTTTACTTGATCCAAAATGGGCAATACAAGGACATTCAGGTGACTAACAGGCAAACAAGAGGTGATAACAAGATGTACTGTGTCTCTTGTCATTGGTGGGCACATTCATATGCCTTATAAAACAAAATTAATTGAGGAGACCATAAAAACCTGTACTTTTGCTGAAGAAGAACAATGAATGAGAGTCAACATACATGCAGTGTCAAAATGTTATGTTATAAAAACAGGCACCGAGGATGGCAACTGAAAAAAATAGAACTGCTTTGGTGGCCTGTTTATAAGCAATATTTTAGAGACAGGTTAGAAATTAGCTTCATTTGATTTCAATATCACTTAAAAACAAGATGTATACTCAGAGGAGTGCTAGATTAGTGTACAACTAACAGCCTGCTCCTTTATCTCATGTGTGGGAAGACTGTAAAAAAGGTCCTCACTGGCAGGAAACTGATTTAGCGTAAGGAGTAAGATGGTATGGAGCCTTCAAGCCAAGTAAAAAATGGTGAGGTAATTTGAGACAGTCCTGATCAAAATAACAGTCTTAACATGCCTATTGATATATTTTCAGAAAAAAATATTTACAGTTTTGTGTTTTAATTAAGATTTGTGCTTTTAAATTAGGTTTTGCCAACAGTTTTAAACAGAGTGTTTAATCCCATTCTGACAAGAACTTCAGTCCATGGTAGCTTCCATGCTGAAAAGTAGAAGGACAAAATACATGACATTTCCAAGTAAGGAAATACCAAAAAATTGTTTCTTCCTTCTACTAGTATTTGGACTAGGTTATTCCACAAAGAATGGAATTAATCTCTACTTGTTCCTTTGCAGTCCACAGGCAGTTGTCCTGTAGCTTCCCTCTTGAGTCAATCCTTTTAGGCATCCATTTCTTCTACCAAACTAGCTCTCAAATCGGAACACAATCATGCTTTTTTGCAGTTTTTTTTCTTTTTTTGTTCTGGAATAGTGCCACAATCGTATTTGGTCAATTTTCCGAATGTGTATTTTGTCAAGGTAACGCTATATCGCTTTCAAAGGTCTTAGTGTTTAAATTGTTCTCTTTCAGAAAAGCCAAGTGAGTCACGTTTACATCTACTGCTGCTTCCACCTTTTCCTGGGCTGCCCTCTCACCAGTGAGGCTTGGCTATCCCTCTTCTTTTTAAGGTTGGCAAAGTTCCTGTGAAGTTCTCAAGGGGGGAGGATGTAGAATACAGCTGTGGGGTTTCTGCTCCCTTGGTCGAGACGCACAAATGCGGGGCAGCTAGACCCAACAGGTAAAGCTCAGAGCCGCAGACCAGCATCCCCTTCTGAGCGTAAAAGAGATCTTAAAAGAAGAGAGGTGTTCTATTTCACCTGATTTTGCGGGCAGTGTTAGTAAAAGAATATCACCTGTGAGTGCTGCCAAAGGACCTGTGAGCGCATGCAATCCTGTGTGAAGGCCAGATTGTTCATAAATAATGGTAATAGGTCAAAGTATGCCAAGCTTCTCTGTTTTTAAAATATAAGATTCTTTAAATAACCAGATTATTCATATACTTTTCTTTTAAAATAGTACATATACTGAGTGGCATTAAACTGGTTTAAACCATTAAAATTAGTTCCAATACTACTTTGTTCCTTTTTTAATGGCTCTCAGTATGTCAGTAGAAGGTACCACAGAAAGGTTGGGATAAGCAACAGTTCATTCTTCTGCAGCTCCTAGATTCACAGATATCTTCACAAATGTGAAAAGATATGTCTGTTCTGTTCTCTTTTACAATAACTACTTTGTAGCAATAAGAAGTTGAGGATAACCTTGTTCAGGTATGAAAGCCACTCTTTTCAAACAATTCCCACTGAGGGGCTCGGGTCAATACTGGAAATTCTTTATCAGTAATCCTTTGATTAATAAGATCTTTGCATATTATAGAAAGTGGATGCACTAACCTGTAAAAGGATGCAAAGATATTGCAGAATTTAGAGATTGCAGTGAAAAGGAATGAACTCTTTGCCCTCAGCCTCTTCTGCTCTCCGCATTGCAGAGCTTTTGAAGTGTTTGTGTACTAAAACCAAAGGAGGAATGATGACAGCATGTTTTCAAGCTGTCAGGAAGCTACAATATACCTGTACAGTTGTGCCAGCAAGCAAACAAGTCATAAGACTTGATACACTTGTCACTGAGTCGCTGAAATCCTGACCCTCATGTTGCCCCTTATCAGAGTTGGTTCACGACAGAGCCCGGGTTCAAGAAGCCATTGAGCTCTGTGCACTCCATGGAAAGGCCTCTCTGGTAGAGGCACTTGAAATACTTATGGCCGTTCACCTTTCCAGGGTCAGACATCTTGTAGGTATAGCTTACATATCTGACAGATCAATATTTTTAATACTCAGCTGTCATGTCTTTAGAGAACTGGTATGCAGTGCAGTGCTTAATGCACTTTTGTTTTCTTTTTCTTTTCTGTAGTTGTGTGTATGCCAACATGCCCACTACTGAAGCCTTAGATCAAGCTTTAAGGGAAATGCAGACATGTCTGGAGAGCAATCTAAGCTTGTTGAAAGTAAGTGACTTAAAGTGCACATAACTTGAATAAAGCTTATGAGCATATAGTAATTTTGATTTTTCTCATTGTAATATGACAAAATAGGAAACCATATTTCAGCATCAACTCTGTAGGACCCGTAATGCTTTAGACATACCCTTGGATCACAGAAGGGCAGTGGGAAAACATTTAGGTTTAGGTTAGAAAAAAATAAAAGTATTTTTTTGATCCACCTATTAGAACTGCCACTCTGTTTATAGAAATACTAATTGCAAGAATCTTCAAGGAATTTTATACTGCAATTAGAGCTGACCAGTTTAAATACAACAGAAACATACTTTCTTCATGTGTTCTAGTTGTACAAACATATGGTGATACCAGTAATATTTCCCGTAAACGTTTTATGCCATTCACAGCACTTCAGGTATATTTAAGTAAACTTAAAGAATATTGGACTATTGGCCAAGATTTACAATGGTTCAACAGAATGTTGAACATTGAATTATAAGACTAAACAAGCATATCATCCAAAGATATAAGCCAAGATGCAAGTCTCATTGGAGGCCTGGTGTGTCTATGAGTTTTCAGTCTGGCTGGACTCTTCATAACCTCAGTCATCTAATTTGTGGCTTGTTTGGGCATGTTTTACATCTTCTCCCAGACTCTCAGATTCATGACCTGAGGATATATCAGGCCTCCAAGTCCAGGATCAGTGTCTTCTGCTCAGTATTATCTACCATATATAACTTTTTAAAAGGCAGATAGTTATTTCATATCCTTTCTTGGTCAGTATGGGTGTGGTCTGATGAGCATAGAGGCCTTTGAATTATTGCATAGGCCCTTTTTCTTTCTTCAGAGACTGGATGAGGTTTCTTAAGAAAAACTAGTGCATACAAACATACTTAAACTGCTGTTCGAAATGTTAGCCATTTCATGGGATCACATTTTAATCAAAGTGCTGGGTTGGCTTTATCTGGCTTGAATCCAACTGAATTCTAAGTGGATCTAAAGAAAGCAATGGTTGTGAAGAAACCACTATTTTCAGTGCACTTAAATTTGTTTGCATTGATGAATCACAACAAATATAATGGGGCTGTTCCAAAGTAAAAAAAAAAGGGCAATGAAAGACAACAAAAAAGACTGATTTAAAGTATATGTAAATACTGATGTGGGTGTGTAAGACCAGCTTTGTGATGTTGGGCTAATTCCAATCATAATCCTGAATACAAGCCAGTATAAATAAGAATAATTAAGTGTCTCCAAAATTCTTCAAGACCGTCCACTGCAAATGTAACTATTTTCTTAATACTTAAAAGTCACACTTTGTAATTCAACAAACACTTGGGAAACTAAAAAATGTTTATTAAATTTCTTAAACTATTGCATTTAGACCATGGATTCTGCAGTATCAAGTGGCCATGTTCAGTTAAAAGTCATATATGACATTGTGGATAATCATTATTGCTCTAAAGCAGTGGTTCTCAAACTGTGGTACGCGTACCTGCAGTGGTACGTGGAGTGCCACCAAGTGGTACGCCAAATGACCCGGGAACTGTGTCGTGTGCGCTGAAAAATCGGGACGGGTTTTCATATTTTGTTTTTTAATACATGTCGAATACACAGCCTACGTACTATGATACAGTGCGCGCTAATACTTCAGTGGACACAAGAGATACTCTGTAATTCTATACCACTCTATAAGAATGCGTGCTATGGATGCAAGTGACCAATTGTATTTTAAAAAAGCTACTGTATCTCCAGCAAATAGGGAGGTAGGAGAATGTGCGTGATTTTGGAACAATGCCAACGTTGTAAACACAGGAATGCATAGAAATACAAGCTACGAATGCTGGTAATCTTGTGAGCACAGGAAAGCGTGATAGATAACAGAAAATATTTAAGAACTGGTCTAAGTTAATTTGAGAAAAATACACTGAGCGTCTCTGTGTTTCGCTCCCATGCGCATTAAATAAAACTTAAAATAAATACGGAAATAAAAACGGAAACGCAGAAAAATGCAAGCTTGCGGATTGCTAAAGCAGGTATGTCCCACACTATTATGTGTGGAGAAAAAGCTGCTGAACAGCTCGACCTGCTGCCCCCCCTGAAAGACAGTCATTCATAGAATTATTGAAATGAATGATTATATCAAAAGTACGCTGATAGAGCGCGTTAAGATGAGCAGATGTTTTTCACTGCAATTAGATGAATCTGTAGTTGATTTGGCCAATTTGCTCGTTTACATTAGATACGAGTTTGAGGGTACGTCCCATAATGACTTTCTGTTCTGTAAACCGCTACCAACAGGAACTAAAGGAGAGCACATATTTCAGCTTCTGAATGAATTTATCGAAGAGAATGGCATCGACTGGATAAAATGTGTCAGAGTTTGTACAGACGGTGCTAGAGCAATGACAAGCCAACATAACGGTGTAGTTGCACGAATTAGAGAGGTTGCTCCAGAAATGAATGGATGCATTGCAACATCCACTGCGAGACCTTTACCGACAAGAAAATGCCTGACGATTTAAAATCTGTTAGACTGTTGTGAATTGTGAAAAGGCTCCAAAAATTAATTCACATCTGCTTTGCTCGACTAAACAGGTTCACCCCTCTCACTGAAATGGTGCCTTTTTATTATTTTTATTTGTTGTTGTTACTGTTTTTTTTCTGTAAAACACTTTGAGAAGCCACCTTTAAAGGCGCTATATCAAACAAAGTTTATTATTGTATTTATTATATGTATGTGTGAGTGTGTGTGCACGCGCGCTTATGTTGGTCATTGAAAATTTCTGGGGTTCCTATGAGATGATGACTTGTAGGTGGTACTTGGATGCTTTGGTTGGATTAGGGGTGGTACTTGGTCCAAAAAGTTTGAGAACCACTGCTCTAAAGTATTGAGGGAGGGGTTGGTAAAGTGAATTCGTGAAAGTGCATAGCCCAACATGGAATCGAAGCACATGTAAGGGAGCTAGACAATTCCTATAGAACAAGAAAAATTAAAAATCAGCTCATATTCACCACATTCCCAATCGTAACAGTGTTGCGTGTTGCATATTCCTGAGGTAACTTCAAAGAACATTGTGACATTTCCATTCACGGGACAAGGATGTAACAAGAACCAAACTATACTACCTCCATTTGAATGCATCCTGTAGTTTGTTCATTTCACCTGTAATTGTACAGAAGCTGCCACGAAAGTGTGTGTTTGTAGACTCTGAGACTGTTTCTAGTAAATTGGGTTTCTGTACTTTTTACACTTCAAGAAAAGGTTGTAGATGGAGATAAATTAGTTTGAGTGGATTGGACCCTGTATAAACACCATGATTCACGTTTACCCAACATTTCATTTTACAGGATACCAGATTTAGCTCTTGCCCTCGCAGTTGTCTTCTTTCTTTCCTTCTTCTGCCTGCTCATACTGTATGAAAGTCATCTCAGGAAGTGACAGAACTTGTTGAATCCATCTTTCATTCCAAACGTCCATTCTCCAGTACGATCTTTCTGCATGCCTTCGAAACCTGCTCACCTGGGTTATCAAGCCTTTCTGTCTTCTTTCTCCACCTGTCGTGATGACGTACATTCTCCCTCCACAGAGCACCAGCGTTACCACACCCTCAGGGCTGTCCCCCCCATTCCACCCTCTATCTTCTCCTACCCTCTCCATTCACACAGTCCTTATCTCATCTGCCCCTTGCCTCTTTCTAGATTCTTTTCTATCCCTTCTTCATAGTGTAAAATTCACTGTGCCTTTGGCCCCTGCAACATTTTGCCTGGTTTTATCTCTTTGTCCTTCCTCACTCTACCTCTTTCTGCTGTCTTGTGAGAGCCCACCCAGCTGTTGATGCCTTCTCCTCCTCCTGCAGTCCCACGGCTTCAGACTCCACTAGGTGCAGGCTTCTCGTCCACAGCCATTACTGCCCATAGGCCCACATTGCAGCCCCCACTCCTTCAGGTGTCCAGGTCGTAACCCAGGCGTTGGCAACGACAGGTGCCATTCCTTGTTCACTGGCTTCCTACCTAGAATGGTGTCAGTCCCTTCTTCTGGAATGGTTTGTGAAATTTCTCTGATACAATTTTGCATTCTAAATCATATTAAATCTGCCATTGGCCCTTTCATATCCCCTTTTCTTCATTGGATCTGCTCTTTTATCTGTTCTTTCAAACTTTGGAACTGAAGGATTCTGCTGAAGTGTTAGGTTGTCCCATTTCCTTTTTGGGATTGCCTCAGTCTCATCCTCACGGTGGGGTTGTTGTTCTTTCAGAAAGGATGAGCTAAGCTAGGAAAGTAAACTAATTCAAATCACCCCTCTGTTCTGTCTTAATTATTTGGGGTTTGACTGAAATACTGAAACCGTATGATTATACCGTTTTGATGCTGCACAGTTGGGCTATTTCCATTGTGTTACAGAGTATAGTACAGGGGTCCCTGATATACATTAGGGTTAGGGTCCAGGAGGTAATGGCTTATGGTGAAACAACAAATAAAGTGGATTTTTTTTAATTTCTCCATAAATATTGGAGGGTGTGGGGCCATAAAAGTAAGAGGCTTTTTCCATAAGAATTATTGGATACATTCAAGTTAGGAACCATAAGTTAGGCTGGGTATATGTTAAAGTTGCATCTACCCAACTACAGTAGAGAGGGTCCTGTTGTAAGTCCAATAATACAACTTATAACAAAATGACTTGGGGGTAATTAATATCCATAGGGAATTAATAATTAATAATGTTTTTTTGTGTAAAACCAATACCTATAACCTATAAAAACAATAAATAGAAATAGATATCTTCACCAGCTCCTTTCAAATTATGGTCTGGTCGAAAACCACCAAATCGCTTTACTTCAGGGTAATTTGTCTGAAGCAATGTTTATGCATTTAAAGTTAGTGATCACACCTTGATCAATTGGATACGCGATTTGGTGCATGGTGGTAACTCTAATGTTGGGGTATAACTATTCATTATTGAAGTTATGTGAAAAAGCACTGAATGTTGAATGTCAAATTTTGTTCTTCACAATATTATTTCATTTCTGGAACAAAATAAGATTTTTTTTAGTTCAACAATTTAAGTGTGAAGCAACGTATAGCATCGTGACTCATAATAGGGACAGTCACTTTTCTGCACCCCATTTTCTAATTGACATTTTCTAAATGGGCATCCATTTTCTAACCGCTTCATCCAATTCAGGGTCGTGGGGGAGCAAGGGGCAGGATATACCATGGACACCAGTCCATCGCCAGGCAGACGCATAGACACACACACTCACACCAGGGCCAATATTCCCAGAAGCCAATTAACCTACCAGCATGTCCTTGGACTGTGACTGGAAACCAGAGTACCTGTAGGAAACCCACATGAACTACAGGAAGAACTTACAAACCAACAGGTGGGGAATTGAACCCAGAGTCCCAGCACTGCCAAGCAGCAGTGCTAAACTCTGTGCCACTTGCTGTCCCACAAGCATTTTGCTCCTGAGATGTGTTCTGTATGCCTCTGCATGTCATATCTAGAGTTGTGAGGAGCCCACTGTCTTAACTCAAAAAAAGTATTATTTTATTCATGTTCAAAGCTTTAATGTGTATTTTTTTCTCCAGAGTGCTGGTTGCGTTTATTACACTCCTGAAGATTATGATGTAAGTAGAAAGAGCATTAATAAGCCATAGTGTGATTTAAAATGCTTATGTTTTCTAATTCAGAGAGAAAAGATTTGCAGTTTACTTATTATTAATGAGTGCATTATGAACGTCTGACATATATTGTAATTATTATTGGAATGAAATTATTTGTTATTCATATTCTTGAGGAAATACCCAAGTCATTAATATCTGAATAACAAAATTAAAAAGGCTGTTAACGTATAATATTTTAATGCAGATGAAACCACATTGATCCACTGTTGTGATTTATTTTTTAGACTGACTGCACAAATACATTGTTCGAGTGTTATATTTTGGAGATGGAGGTTATTATATTTGAACTTGATCAAGACTACGAATCTGTGCACTCCTTGCAGACTTTTTTGGAACATGCAAAGAAAAAGGTGAGTTTTTTTTCTTAAAACATTATATACAGAAGGTTATCAACACTGCGGATTTAACATTAGCAAATTAATTTACTCAAGATTCGATCTGGCAACTGGGGAATGAGCAGAGAAGAGACTGGGGAAGAGCAGAGGGGAATGAAACGGAGTTGAAGGTTATTAAGTGCAACTTTCAATTTGCTAACAGACTAGGAACATTCAGTTTATTTTTATATAGCGCCTTTCACAACAAGGTTGCCCCAAGGCACTTAATGAAGCTGTGTGACAATACATAACAGTACAATACAGAAAAAGAAAAAGCCAGAAGACAACGGAAGAGAGGAACCAAAAACTTCTCTGTAAGGAGAAAAAAAACCTCTAGGGGTCCAAGGTCAACTGGCTGCCCAACCCCTCTGGGCATGCTAGGTTATACAATTCTAAAAAAATTACTAAATTGGGAGTATTAAATCTTCCATCCTGTGCCAGTACTCCATGAAGATCTCTGTAGACCAGCAAATTTTCCTAAACAATAGCTGTATTCGTGATCCATTGCAGTGATGCAGCATCCAACTCAGTGGACATGTGGGGAGGAGAATAGGATAATTTGGTCAGAACAGACGTATCGACCTGGAAGGCAAACACTGAGACACACAATGGCATGTACAACATAGGGGTGCACTTGTTTATATGTGAACTTATATGTGAACTGTATTTCAGTACAGTTCTCTGCCCCAGACCCTTACGAATGTCCCATTGTACTATAGTTTAATTACTTGAGAAATTCTTCATTATTTATAAATTATAAATCTAGATCTTCAGTTTGTCTATTGTTACAGATGGGGGATACCTAGATGGTGAACATCAGGAATTGACCGAGCAGTTTAGTCAATAAGTGAAATAATTATTCATAACCAATTGCATCTTACAATGACTTGTAAGTCATTTCTAGCAATATACCCGAGCGGCTGGTATAATTAGAGGCTCATGAATTCTTTGTTCTCTGGCACAGCTTTGATGAGAGGAGTAATAATTCAGGCACCCTTGGTTAAACAAATATTTATTACAGTGACACAAGGCACAGATTACACTATGCACAACAAAACATACAACACACAAGTTACTCTATGTACAAACAAGGCGTTTCAGAGGCCTAACATTCTGATCACCCAGACTGCTACTAAGTGTTAAACTCTTAATGCCTACAGGGGCCACATAAGAGATAAGCTGCCTTCTAACTAAATACAATGTAACCTGCAGTTAAATCTTTCTTTGTGCACCCTGGATGCCACAAAAGAAATGGGAGCCTTCAGTATATCCCTTTCCATACAAATGCACTCTTAGCAGGGAAGACATTTCTAACTGAGGTATATTTTACCCAGGAAACCCAAGTTCCCTAAAAATACAGAATAGCAAGCCTTCTCTTTAGTAAGGTTCAGATACTTAGCTCTAGTCCAGATTTATTTGGATGATCATGAAGTAGGGGCTCTTGCCTGGCGCAAGCTTCAAGTTCCAACACTAGAAGTGTTTACTCTTCCAAGTTTCATAAATGTTATCTAAAATCTAAGACACTTCTTAGTCACACTAAGCTGTAACATTATATTAGTTATATATTATTTTGGAACTAGTAAAACTGTCTGAAGAATGTGCAGTAAAAATAAAAAGGACAAACAGTGAAATGTAAATATACACAGACTTTTATAGAGTTGCTAGTTAAGAAGTGAATGAGTTAATGTATTCCAGGCTTTGCCATTTTTGATACAGTAAGCGGTTTGTTTAGTTTAAGATGCAATTGGAAATGTTTCTTGAGCAGTCAAGCATATACAACTTTGGCTTAACCTACTTGGCTGTGGGCCAACAGCCTGGCCCTAGGACAAGGAAGTTAGGACTGGGATACAGACAGACATTAAAAAGGGGATCAGTGCAAAGCTTGAGGTGGGGTGGGTCCTTTTGAGGGCTACATGCATGACTTAGGTATATAAATTACACCCAGATAAAACAAAACTATAGATTCCAACAAAATGCTGTGGTACCCAGTTAAAGTAATTTTTAAAACTAGCTTTTTTAAGTTGCTAAAATGTAAACCATGTTGTATGATCTTGAATCTCTTTCCATATAAAATAGCAATGGATTTTTTCTATTTCCTAATTGTTTAGATCACAAATGATCTGAAGAATTTGGGGACAGAAACAGACTCTTCGCAGGTACATCACATCTCCGGTACTCAAGAAATATCTACAGGGGTTTGTGAAAGTTATTATTTGTGGCAGGATACAGGATTCCTTGAGTAAAAATCAAATTTTGTACATACTTGACTACTCTCTGAAAAACACGTTGCTGATTTAAAAAAACGTTTCAGTCTTCTGATCTTTCTGAAGACTTGTGGCAAATTCAGAGCACAGGCTATATTAACATACAATTAAGAATGCATTATTTCAGCTAGTTGTTTAACACATTTTTTTAAATTTTGTAACATCACCCCTTGTCTAGGCAATTTGACGTCCAGACATAATACTTGGGCTATTAAAGGGGATGATTCGCCCTGCTGCTGGACTGTCTTGATGTTCTAAAAGGCAAAATGGCTGAACAACATTAAGCAATTTGTGTCTTCGATTGATCTACAACTCCTACCCAAACAGACTTACTGTGGGGAATTTGAATCATTCTAGTTGTAGTTTTGTATAATCTGTAGAGTAAAATCATTTGAATTTGGCGATTTCATACAAATTATGTTAAAAAGCAAGGCATCTTAAAAACAGAGAAATATGTACAGCCACAAGAGGCCACAAATTATTTATGGAGAGAAGTCATATGTATGTGTTGTCAGTTTGTCTTAACTGTCTGTTCGTTCTCCAGAGTGATTTTGCCGTACCACAAGAGTGCATGAACATTTTAACTGGCTAATTGTTGTGTTTCAACTTTTTGGATGACAAAAGTTTTATTTTGAAAAAATAAATCAATCAAATGTTAAAAAAAAGCACTTTATTTATTTGAAACACAGATTTGATGTCAAATGTAGCACGTTCAGTACGTCAAATATAATTTTAGGTGGCATGTCATTTTATGCTGTTGAAGTAACATTCTAAATTACAATATTATTTTTCTTATTATTGTGAATAGAGAAATGTTATTGGTTTTGTTTGCATAACAGCATGATAAGACAGTTTAACAGAAGGATTTAATGGGTAGACAGTTTATGAGTTTATGAAAAAATTCAATGTCAAGAGCAGGAGAGTAATGATTTTATCTTATTTCCTAGATTTTTTTGCACTGTAAACGATGTGAAGAATATGAAGAGAAGACAGCAGAAGCATTTCTCTCCAAGTTTCAGACATTTTTGCAACATTTGCATTCAATAGGATATAATATGACTAGTTGAGATTTTTTGAGTTGCTTATATTTATTGATATATCTGTGTGAGAAATTATTGTGTGTTGTTTTTGTACATAGAATTTGAATACTCTTTAGAGCAATTAGAAAAATTCCCTCAGGGGACAATAAAATCCTATCTAAAATACTAGTATATCCAAATGTTTCCTATACATTTTGCTACACATTACTTATGCTAATAAACTGCTTGCAAAATAGTTTGTAATACTATCGAAGCAAGATTTGTAGAAAAATTTGTATAAAACATTTCGTTTTAAAAGAAATTCTGAATTTGTTTTGTCTAAAAGTTGCATGGCATTAACTTTTGAAACTCCAACAACATGTTTAGAACAAAGAAAATGGTTTAATGGTGAGATTCTTTTTCAAACTGTCACTCTGTACAGTCATACTGTCAGGGAGAGTTCTTTCCGGACCCTGTGCAGACGACACAATCCAAGGTAGAGTGAGGAAACACTGGGAAAAGGGCATGCAGGATACAGGGATGAAAACAGGGGGCGTCCATGGAGTGCTGGTGATCGGGGGAGGTGTGGCCGAGGCAAACGATCCAGGGATGAGTCAAACGGGAAATCCAAAAACAGGGCAAAAGTCCAAGGCCAGGCGATCCATCCGGGACAGACGATTAAAATCCAGAACCGGGTCGGGACCCGCAGGGGGCACAGGAACGGGACCAAGATCAGAAACTAAAACCATAACAGAGCCAGGCGTTAACCCAGGTCCCGGGCTCTGCATTGGTTCCAGCATCATGCGAGCCCGGGACCTGGATGCGCCTGGCTCCGTTGAAAAGCTAATCAACAGATTTGTCTTCTCCCAAATTGACTACAGTATTGCACTACTGGGGTTTCTAAATCCACATTAAACAAACTCCAGTATGTCTGAATTTCACCAGCCAGAATCCTGACGAGATCTAGCGCAAGTGATCACACTACTCCTATCCTGAAATACTTGCGATAGCTTCCTGTCGACTTCAAAATCCTCATGCTCGCCTATAAGGCTCTGCATGGCTTAGCACCTCAGTACCTGTCTGAACTATTATCACCCTACTTCCCATCTCGCAACCTTCACTCTTCTAATTCTGGTCTCCTAACTGTCCCTGAAGCCCATCTACACTATGAGTGTTATGCCCCCAAACTCTGGAACTATCCCTAAGAATATCAGGGATAGTTCCTTCTCTAAACCCCTCTGCCCCTACTGTATTCAGTACCCCCATCTACTGTCTCCTCTCATTGTGTATATCTTGTGTATTTTTTTATATTAGTAGTGTTGTCATTCTGTAAAGCGCTTTAAGAATCCACCTTTAAAGGTTCTATCTAAAAGTATATATACGTTTTATATTACTACTAATGATCTGTAATTTGCCTAGAAGAAACAATCGTCAACAAGAGTGATAAACATTAGATCAGGGGTGAGTTTCCCAAAAACGATGAATCTTAGAGACTAACGAGCAACATTATGATGCATATACGTTAATTTTTTTTTGCGTTTCCCAAAGCCCCTCTTAATCGGTCATTTTACTAGCGAGAATAAAGTACTTCTTTGTTAACCCTGCCCCTGATGTCGCTTGGCAAAAAACATCACAAGTCGATTGAAAAACAATCAATTGACAATACTTTCATTATATGGTTTCGGTTTTTGGTCCTTCAGTGGGATGAAATAAGGTTGTGAAAAGGAATATGAAGTAAACATGACATCATAATTTAACAACCAATTAAGCGAACGGGTATAGATTAGGCACAAAATGGGACACTTCTTGTTTCTAAGATAAAATAAAATAAATGACTGACATGCTGAAAAAGAAAAACAAAATTGACTGTGTGGACAGTGTATGTGTCCTGCACAAGGTCTTTGATTTAAAACAAGATTTTTTGGCACACTGCCATTGTTAAGAATCACAGTGTTTCATGAGAAAATACTGCTGCTATTGGGTGTATTGGAACTCCATTTTAATAGGTCTTATTAACATGACATCTGGATAAATCAATAACCAAGCTTGGCATGTGTCGCTCAACAAATATAGGACCTACAGTACAGTATAATCAAATTTTAAAACAAGAAGGTCTAAGCTTTACCATCAACAATCACGACAGAACATAAAGCGGTATTCAATGATTTAACATAATTCATTACTGCATTTCATCATGAAAATCATATCATCTAGTCAAGTATAAAACTTGGCATGTAACGGATTGGGGTATTCTGGGCATATGCCCTCACCCCTTCCATACAAATACAAGTAGAGGAGAAAATCTAGATAAAAGAAAGAAAACAGAACAAACAAACGAATTAACTGGCAGCGGTAATGAGGTAAATATGTAACTAAGTTATATCTTTACATATATTAAATGTTTTCCTTGCTTTGGCATTTTTCGTGTTCTTTATGGAATTTAAACTCCACCTCAAAAGTACTGAAAGAGGGAATATTATTGGACCATTTGAAATTAACCCAGGATGACTAATAAATTCATTACTGTATAAATCAATGTTCTTTTTCCAAATGTCCTCTTACATGGTACAACAAAATATCAAAATCCTTAATATAAAATCGTAGTATTCTAAATTTCCAGAGAATTGTCATGATGTGAATTGAATGTTCTCTGTCTGGCGATCTCTGTCGCTAAGGTTGGTGCAAGAGATTGCCAGTTTAAGAAGCAGTGATTAACAAGTGGGTCGGGGAGCATGTAGATTATGAAGGATTTAACGTGCTACTTTAGTTACGATGTATTTTGGGAAACACTCATAAATTAACGATAGATTTTAAGATCGAGTTTACGATGTTCTTAGCGCTACGATGCTTTCAGGAAACTCATCCCAGATCTGTTAAAGTTTTATTTCTATTAAATAAAATCAAAACATTGCAAGAGGAGATAATGGGTAGAACATGTTCCACAAAGGGTAAAAAAAGCTCACACTCAAACACTGCAACACAGACCAAATGCAGTGGTACACAAATGAAGAACAATTGTGTGACAGGAAATTTCATTTTTTAAAAATCATGAAAAATTATAAACTATATCTGTACAACACACAAAATGAATTTAAAATGTATAAATGCAAAAAAGTAATGTACAACAATTTGTGTGATGAAACAGAAGTAAAAATGTATGGCTATGTGTAACAGGCATTTCGGTTTTAATTCAAAGTGATAAAAAACATCAAACTGAGGACTGTCTAAAACACATACAGGTGATTCCAAATGTTGTTATGCTTGATAAAACTAATGAAAGATGGTACAGTGGACCTGTGCAGTCAATAAGCTGGAGGGGAAAAAGCCTGAAAGCAGTTAGAGTAAGAGCACTGAAATATGTCAAACCGGTCTGGCAGATTTATTCTGAAAAAGAACCATGTTGCGTTGATTAGGTTGTGACTGAGTTCTTTGAAAAGGGAGCATTGAAAGAATGCTTAGCAAGCCTGTAGCGTAGTGGGAAAAGTTATATTGTGGGAACCCAGAGACAGTCACTTGTAAGCCCAATCTGAAATTCCCATCCAGAAAAGGGAGATGTCTTGATGAAGAACTACAAGATCACAGTCAAACAAGACTGCAGATCAAGCAACAACATGCAGGAACCATAAATACTGTAATTTTCCTTTGTAAATGTAAATGTATGTAAATATAAAAGAACTGTAATAAACATGTATTCTATATTTTGTACAACTTATTTAATACTGTTGAGCTTTGAAGTGTTCTGTTGTAATTGTTGTTGAAACTTTGCCAATACTTGTATAACTTTGTCATGCTAATAAAGGGCTCTGAAATTCAAAGTAAAACTGAAAGCAAATGTGTTGGTGATCATGGTCATTTAATATGCTCAACATAGAAAAGTGAGACTGACAAACATCCACTCACCATGCAGCACCTGCTGAGTTAGTGAAACTATGAACTTTGCTATTTGGTTAATATACAGTATGCAGAATAATTCACATCAGTCATGCTGCTGGCGAGGTTCTTGGCAATTCTGCAACAAGCTGTTTCTTTAATAGTTAAACTAAATGGACACTAGGTAGATTTAATGCTGTAGATAACAACAGAGACATTGTGTTTACCTGTTTTTTTTGCAAAAGGAAGTGTAAGAAACATGCAGGCACTAGCCACTTGTAGAGGGAGTTCAAAGACAAACTGTTTCAAGTCACACAGGAGTAAATGAGTGACATTTTCTCTAAAGCTTAATGACAAGGATCTGTATCTGTAGTATTTCTTCACTACTAGAATTCAATTCTCATGATAGCAGCCTTCCCCTTTTGAGACGTTTTGCATAAGGAGGAAACGTTCTTTAAATACCGGAGAGGGGTGCATGTCGCCAAAAGGACAGCCTTTGATGTTTCATGACCATTTTGTGTCACTACAGTTGTAGTAGTACTTGTATATATTTTTTAACCCAGTCAAAAATAACCACACTGTTCAAATTCGATAATAACAATACACACAAGACATTTAGGAGGTTTTGTGATAAAAAAACGCATTCATTTCTCCACTTGAACTGATGGTGAAATCTCCACAGAATGTTCTACTGCCCTCTATAAGCTGCACCTGTCTATTCCTACCACCAATCCTCCCACTTGGTGAATGAACTTCCTAGTGCATATAACAGGTGCTCCACATCTTTGTAAAACCATAAACCTTCTCACGTCACTTATAGTTGTAGATGTATTGTAAGTAGGACTAGAAACGTACGTAGTCAGTAAAATTATTATCAGATTGGGTGTTGCCAGTGAAGTTAAGTTTATTTTGGCTAGGGTTCTGAAAATGCAGTTGTGGTATGCAGTTTCTGTCTGATTTACTGGAAGTAACGTGGATGGTGGATTAATCTACAAAACTAAAAATAATCCTGCAGTGTACGCGTTGATTAAAGGAATCTGTGCTCACAGTTTCACTTATCCTCATTATAAGTTAGTGTTCATTTTCTTCAAGGCAAAACAATGCATTCCTGGCTCACAATTCTTTTTTCAAAGTATTAGACGTGTTCTCAGTAAGATAGCTCTCTAAACTAAGGAAAATCACATATGCTACAATAAATAGGTTTTGCAGAATGATCAGAATTGCACGTGCAAAAGCTCATCATGCAAAACCTTTGGCCGCAGCTATAGAAAGAAACTCACTTCACAACTTTTACAGTTGAATTTGTTTTTAAATTAATGATGTTTCTGAAACACTCTATAACAAAATAGCAGCAACAAGTTTTAAATGAGAAGCTGAAGAAAATAAAAGGGTTGTAGATTCAGAAAATATGATGACACTTTTCAGAACTTCAGGAAGTTGAACTACTTTCCCAGGAAGTTGAGAGAATGACTTGCCTTCCTCAGTCACCTGACCTGATTGGCACAAAACAATTTATCAGATGATAATTTAAAAACCAGGAAGATAACATTTCCAAAGCTGTTCCAAATCTGCCATCTGGAGACCAAGAGGGATACTTTGTTCTGTGACTGCGCCAGAAGGAGAAAGGAAAGGAAGCAACTAGATGGACTGATGGAACTCAGAACTGTGTGAGTTTTGAGACTCACAAGGGAGATGTGTGTCTTGGAATTGGTAAGTAGTTTAGCTGCCTGGCTATTACTAGAGAGGGACTTTTTGTTTTGTTCATTTGCAATGGTCCCTGACTCATCCTAGGTAAAAAGGGTATCTTTTGTATATGTTGGTAGTTGTGGGATATTGACCAGAAAAGGTACTGCAGACATGAAGCTTTACATCACATCCCAGTTTTTTTAAGTGTGAAGATAAAGTCCCTACTTGAATAACCAGTAGAACTTTGCATATGAAACTTATGTTTCATTTGCAAAATGTTGTCACCACAAATGGGTTTGCATACCAGAACTGTCACAGTTTTGACATGCATTGCAGCAGAATATCTCATTGAACTGATCTATCCATACTTCACCAGCCTGGTGGCTGGAGCTGCAACCTTTGCAGATTCACTTGTGGATGGAGATCGTAGATGGGTACTGAGATTCCCCTTCCAAAATCCTCAATATAAATAATAATAATAATAATAATAATTGCTTACACTTATATAGCGCTTTTCTGGACACTCCACTCAAAGCGCTTTACAGGTAATGGGGACTCCCCTCCACCACCACCAATGTGCAGCCCCACCTGGATGATGCGACGTCAGCCACAGTGCGCCAGAACGCTCACCACACATCAGCTATCAGTGGGGAGGAGAGCAGAGTAATGTAGCCAGTTCATGGGGATTAATAGGAGGCCATGATTGGTAAGGGCCAATGGGAAATTTGGCCAGGACGCCGGGGTTACATCCATACTCTTTTCTAGAAAGGCCCTGGGATTTTTAAGACCACAGAGAGTCAGGACCTCGGTTTTACGTCTCATCCGAAGGATAAAGTCTGCTTAAAGCAAACACGCAGGGTGCAGGCACAGTAGAAGAGATTAAATGATGCAACAGAACCTTTAATTGAAGGGTGGAACAGGCAGCTTGATGACATGGTAGACTGAACAAATTATTTTCACAGATACAGGCACCATTAATACAGGCCATGCTATTGATATTCAGAGCCACAAGAGCAGAAAGGTTAGTTCTTGATTTTAAAAGAACTTCACGTGGTTACTTCCTGTGCCCTCTGGTTGATGTTTCACTGTTCATGCTGCCGAATTCCACTAGGCTGACTTTGTCAATGGCTTCGAGGCTTTTGTGTACATTAAGCCGCCCTCCAATGTATGAGTTACAGTCCTCTACAACAGTGCGAATAGCTTCATTTTTCCACAGTACATACAAAAAAATGAAGTAATACATGCAAACGCATGTATATTTGATACTAAGATTTCATAATATACCAAAATAAAGCATTCCAGGTGTTTCATTTAATTTATCTACTGATACAACTGGAATTTGTGAAGCCGTTTTAGGGATCATCTGTGCTAGGATGAAACTTGATGAAACTATGATGAAACACGGCACTTTGTGCTGGGGGGTCCCATGATGGTGGGGAGAACCTGTATCTGGTCCTCTCATAATCTTCTCTGTTCAAGACTAAAGCAGTTCAGTTTCTTCAGCCTGTCAGTGTAGGACAGTCCTTCAGGCCCCAGAATGTACTCTTCTCTGGACTGATTCCAGAGCGGCAATGTCTTTTATAACATGGTGACCAAAATTGAACACAATATTCTAATTGTGCACTTACTACTGCATTGCATAATATTAACATTCTTTGATTTAAATTCTACTTTTTTTATAAACCAGCATTGTTTTGCCTTTTTCACTGCTTCTATACATTGTTTAGAAGACGTAAACAATATGTCAACATAAACAACTGTGCATGTCCCTTTTACAAGAAGTCTCTTCATGCTCAGTGTTTCCCATTTTGTATAGTTTGTTTTCAGTAGCTGCATGTAAATTGGATCTCATTTGCTGCTTCCCATCTGCAAGCTTAACTAGTTTATAGACTATTTCAGAATGTAGATCATTGTCAGACATTTAGAAGAGCAATGGATCTAGTGTAGTTCCAAGCTGTACTACACTAATTACCACCATAATTTGAGTATTCACCCCTTATTCGTACTCTTGTTATCTATTTTCAATACACTCATTTTTTGCTGAATACTTTCAGCCTACAATTTTGGTTCATGAATAACTTTTACCAAAAGCTTACTAAGAATCTAAATACACAATATCATATGTCATATGTGTATCAAGACCTTTATAAATCTTGAGCACTCCTAGAGCCTGAAACATTTCTCCCTCTTCTACGCTGATACTATCCAGTACTGATGTTTTTGTTCTTCTGCTGCAAGAGGCATGTTATAGACCTCATCCTTTGTAAATAACTGAGGGAAATACCCTTATTTAGTACATAAGCCATTTCCCTTTCATTGTCTAGAAACTTCCCATTTATGTCCAGGATGTTTAATTTCATTCCTAATGGTTGTTTGGCTATTGCAGTACAAAAATAACTTTTTTTTATTATTTATTCTTTTCAATTTCCCTTTTGGGCTTTTTAATTTAATTTTTCCTCCCATGTTTGCAATTCATTGTACTCCTTTTCTTTAATTTAGATCCTCGCTGTAAAAACTGTTGCCATCCATTTTCCACTGATTTAATCTCTATCCTATCCCACTTCACTTTGTGTGTTTCATTTCTTTAAAGTCTACTTTCTGGAAATAATTAAAATCATTTGCTTTTGACTCAACATGTACAAAATATACTTAAACATATTATGATCACAGTTCCCTAATGGGTCTCTCACTTCTGCCTCAGTCTTGAAGCAGACTGTCACGGGTGCTCTGACAGACTCTGACTGGGTAAGAAAACTGACATTAATCGTGTTTACCATTTCAGTTCCTGCTACAGACAGGGAAAGTTGAAGTCTCCCATAAAAATTACTTCTTCTATCGCACATGTATTTTTAAATTTCATTTTACAGTGTCGAATTATAACAAACATCTGTCAATGGTGGTCTATAGCATAGTCTTAACACTATACCTCTGGAATGCTTTCTAATTAGTCTGACCTACATACTGTAGATTGAAATTCCATCATTCAGACAATGCCAGTTACCTGTGGTGAACTTGCCGGGATCCCAAGTAAATGGCATGGTTTGAATGACAGGACTTAAATTCATCCATCCATCTATTTTCTAACTGACTCCTCCAATTCAGTGTCATGGGGGAGCCGGAATACATCTCAGGAAGCAATATGCACAAAGCAGGATACATCTTAGATGGGATGCCAGTCCATCGCAGGGGACACGCAGACACAAACATAAATACACACACTCACACCTTGGGCAAGGAAACAAATACAAACACAGATCATACAAAC